TGCATTGTTCAGGGTTGGGCCAGTTAGAACAGAGCTCCTTATCTTTTTCTGAACAGCCTTAGGCTGAAGTCTATTAAAAATGGCTCTGAGATGGGTGTGCAGTGGAGGCAACCTCTATAGTATATGTGTTTAGAGAGTGATCTGTAGTTTCACCCTTTTGCAAGAGCTCCAAGGTTCATATATGGCCCTTTAATGAACGTGGCATCAAAATGTTTACCTCCATTATTCTGGGGCTAGTCAATGGAGAAATTAAAAACTAGTTTTTATTGCTGATAGGCTTGCAAGTCTAATAATTGTGATGAATATATGCTTATGCAAAACTCCATTACAGAAATGTTTCAGAGCCACAACATTGCCTGGAATTTGGCAATTCACAAGAATGCTGGTGAAAGGATTCTGTATAGCACTACTCTTGGCATGTGGGGCTCCTCTGAGAAATCTGTGTCAGTTGTACTACCATTGTCTCATGAAACTTGTGGACAGTGCACATCACTTGTCTGTCAGGCTGCCATCTAAATCTTCCTGACAGTGTGTAAGCTTTTCCTTTTAAAGCCATGTTACGCTTTTCATTTAAAACACAATTAGGGAACCTCTGCTGTGTACCATTTAGTCATAGCTAGTCATCAAAAATACTTAATATATTTTAATGGAGTTGTTAGTTGCAATGGATTGGATCCAGACTACATCCTACTTTAGCCTGGGTCTAATTCACTGTTGCCAGCTTTGGAATGTAATAACACATCCCCTGGACTGAGTAATGGATCAGGGTAAAACATGGCATACCATTACTGGACCTGAAGCCAGGGGTAGGGCTGAGTTTGGAAAAGTTAATTTTAGAATATAGCTCCCAGTATTTCTCAATCAGCATGGTGGGAATTAAATAGTTTGAGTGTTGGATTAGAACTCTGAGAAACTTGGGGTCAGATTCATACTCTGCTATGGCACATTATACTCTCCCAGTTTTAGAGGAAGGCAATAGCAAACTAAACAAAGATTGCCAAGACAACCCTATCTGTCACCTTAGGTCAGAGTCAACTTGAAAGCAAATAATAACAACAAAGCCCATAAGTAATATTTCCAAACACTGAGTTAGGAATGGTGAATGGCAAAGTTGGCAAGAAACTTTTAAAAAGGTTGCTTCAGCTGTGCAATACACCAGCTTTTCACATCCTTCTTTTCTTTATTTACCAGCTTGTAATTTTACTGTTTGGACCACTAAAGTTGGCATATGTGGGGAAAATATTTCCTAAGTAATAATTGACCTATCTATAAATCTGTTATTTATTTGCTATTTATAAATGCAAGCGAAACATCAGAAAGAAATTCTTCTAGAAAGTGGCCTCACAGCCCAAAAAGTCCACAAATACCTAATCTGTTATTTGTTTTCATGCTGGAGCTAAGGTGTTTTGAGGCTGTGCTTTGCTTCATCCCATCTAAGTTCTATCAGTGGCATTCCCACACTGGGTGTCACCCAGTGCAGGGGGCAGGGCTTCTGGGGACAGCATGCGCTCCTTCCCACCATGCTACCCCATCCTTTTCCTGATGAGGAAAAAGCATGTGGGAGGGAGAGTGCTCAGGGGCAACACAGGGGATAGCATGGGGTAATTGCAGATGGGGGCAGTGGGGGGATGGTGTGCATGGGGAAACATGCATGGGGATGGCGCATGGGGGAGCACTCATGGAGGTAGCACATGGGGAGATCAAGAGGATGGTGCATGGGGGAGCACACACAGGGGGGAGTGCGGGACAGAGGGCCTGACCTGGTATCACCCCCTTCTGGGGTGTCCAGACCACACCACTGCACATACACACCCCCATGATGCCACTGAGTTCCATCACTCTCAGTATAAATTACAAACTCAGGTTCTGCCAGCAGACACATTATAGTTTTTCGTTTTGAGAACTCAGTCAATTAGCTGCAATTTGAACAGGATATTTGAAATGTAAAATTCAGTTTGACAGAACTAGTGTCTTGTCCATGAGACAGAGAAGCCTTTGAAGTTATCTGTCCATTTTTAATTTGATCGTCTCTCTCTCTCTCTCTCTCCTTCTGTGTGTGTTTGTGTTTGTGTGTGTGTGAGAGAGAGAGAAAGAGAGAGAGAGGAACATTTGAGTAACTGTCAACTTGCATTTCACCATGGAATAAGCGGCTACCATTTTACAATTATTTTTGTTGAGAATCTATATCAATATCAGCCTTTAGCCACAAATGTAAGAGACTTCAGGAATGTAATCACTCCTTTTCTATACTGCAAATGCACAGAAGGACAGAGCCATGAGTGACTAGAGCCCATTTACAGATTGTTATTATTGCTGTTGTGTGGCTTTAAGTTGTCTCTGACTTATGGCAACCCTAAGGTGAACCTATCATGGGGTATTCTTTGCAAGTTTCTTCAGAGGGGGTTTGACATTGCCATCCTTTGAGACTGAAAGAGTGTGACTTGGCCAAGGTCACCCAGTGGGTTTATATGGCCAAGCAGGGATTCAAACCCTGGTCTCCAGAGTCATAATCCGATGCTCAAACCACTACACCATGCTGGGTCTCCCACTTACAGTTAACCCTTTCTTAAACTGGGTCTCCTGTCACCCACCATGTTCCTTGTTTGGAACCCATTCTGGGTTATTTTAAGGGAAATATGATGATTCCAAAAAGGGACAAATATATGTATCTTCAAGTCTCTGGTAGTGCATGACTTGAACCTAATAATTCTCTTACAAAATCATCTCAGTCATTGGTTATACACTAAACAATGAAAGTGGTCATTGTCAAGCTTCTCTTTAAAGATAAACAATACTAAGCTTATTACTATACTCAGACACATAGCCATGTTAGCCTGGATTATCAGTATGCAAAGGGATCTTGTAGCATCTTTGAGACTGATAGAAAGAAGTTGTAGCATAAGCTTTCATATAGACTTGGTTCATTTCCTGAAGAAGTAGACCAAGGTCCAAAACCCACTGCAGAAATAATCCAATTTGAGACTGCTTTAATTGTCCTGGCTTAGTGCTAGGGAATCCTGGGCACTGTAGTTTATTGTGGCACCTGAGCTCTCTGACAGGGAAGGCTAAATGTCTCACAAAACTACAGTTCCCAGGATTCCCTAGCACTGAGCCAGGGCAGGTTAAAGCAGTCTCAAACCAGATTATTTCTGCACTGTGTTTTGGACTTAGTTTACATAAGCTTCTTTCTATCAGTTAGTTTCAAAGATACTACAGAATCCCTTCTTATATCACCATACAGTGGGGCCTTGATATCCACAGGTGTTTGATTCCTGGACCTCCCATGGATACCAAAATCTGTGGATATTCAAGTCCCATTAAATATAATGGATAGTAAAATGGTGTCTCTTATATCAAATGGCAAAATCAAGGTTTGCTTTATCAATTTATAACTTTTTGCAATATTTCCAACCCATGGATGCTTGAGTCCATGGATAAAAAAATCTGTGGATATGGAAGGCTGACTGTTCACAGTTCATTCCATAACATCTGTATACTTTCTAGCCTTTTTCTGAATTCTAATACATCCCCTGCCCTCCTCTCCTGCTTTTAGCTGGCCATAAATCATAGACAAAGTGTCTCTTTAACTGTCAAGCTATATTTCAGCTACTCCCTTCCTTTCATCTTCCTTCACAAAGTTTTGAGCTCCGTGATAGGCTGAGCCCAGGAGAAAATGGACACAAACTCTGGTCATTACACTATATTAGTTTACTGCAGAAAAACCAGCAAAATGTCTTGTGATACCATGCACATTTTGGGGGCATAAACATTTGTAGTCTGTACTCCCTTTCATCAGTTAAAGGAAGAGGTCAGAGGGGGAGAAATCTATGTATGACTCCCAATTGGGGGATTAACCTTTCTCTTACAAAGTTGTTGTGTCATTTTGTTGTTGTTGTTTACTGCCCTTGAGTCAATCTCGACTCATGGCAACCCTATGGATGAGACATCTCCCAGATCCTCTGTCCTCCACTGCTCTGTTTATTTCCTGCATACCTGTAAGCTCCTTAATAGAGTCCATCCATCTGGCATGTGGCCTTTCTCTCTTCCTACTTCCCTCCACCTTCTCCAGCATTATTGCCTTTTCTAATGAGTCCATCCTCTCCATGATGTGTCCGAATTACAACAGCCTCAGTTTGGTCATCTTGGCTTCCAGGGAGGTTTTCAGCTGGATCTGCTCTAGGACCCATTTGTTTGCCCTTTTGGCTGTCCATGGGATCCCCAGCACTCTTCTCCAGAATTACATCTCAAATAAATTGATTTTCTTCCCATCATCTTCCGTAACTGTCCAGTTCTCGCATCCATACATGGTAATAGGGAATACAATGGCTTGTATGATTCTAACTTGTGCTGAGTTGTATATCTTTGCATTTTTGAATCTTTTCTAGTTCTTCCATAGCCACCCTCCTCATTCTTAGTCTTCTTCGGATTTCCTGATCGCAGTCCCCATTTTTATCAAAGTTTGATCCCAGGTATTGGAATTGTTTTACTATTTCTATTTCTTCATTGTCTAGGTTGAACTTGTGAAAGTCTTTGGTGGTTATTATTTTTGCTTTCTTTATGTTCAACATTAAGCCTGCCTTAGCACTTTCCTCTTTAATCTTCTTAGTAGGTCTTCCAGGTCTGTGAGGTTTTCTACTAGTACTATGGTGTCATCTGCATATCTTAGATTGTTGATATTCCTTCCTTCTGTTTTCACTCCTCCTTTGTCTGTGTCCAAGCCTGTTTTTCTTATAATATGTTCTGCATACAAGTTGAACAGATAGGGTAAAAATACTAGCCTGATGCATTTGCCAATTAGGAACCATTTTGTATCTCCATTTCTGTTCTGACAGTAACTTCTTGTCCTGAGTTCAGATTCCTCATAAGGACTCATAAGGACTATCAGATGTGTTGGCACTCCCATATCTTTAAGGACGTTCCATAGCATTTCATGGTCTATGCATCATGGTCTATGTGTAGTCTATAAAACACATGCTGATTTTCTTTTGGAATTCCCTGGTGCACTCCATTAGACATTGCATGTTTGCAATGTGATCCCTAGTGCCTCTTCCTTTCCTGAACCCTGCTTGGACCTCTGGGATCTCTCTTTCCATGTATGCTTGGAGTCTATGTTGCAGAATTTTGACTATGTTGCAGAAATTTGTGTCTCCCTTTTTGTGGATAAAGATTTATATTGATCACTTCCAAT